TTGTTGGGTTTTTCTCTGTATCTATGAAGTGCCTTGAGGCGACTTTTGTTGTGATTTGGCGCTATATAAATAAAATTGAATTGAAATTGAATTGAATTAGCTGCACGGAGGCAGACAGAAAGAGACTGCAGAGGGTGGTAAACACAGCACAAAAACTCATCAGCTGCCCCCTGCCCTCCTTGTCTGTCGTCTACAACTCCCATTGTCTTAGTAGGGCCAGAAACATTTTAAAGGACACTACCCACCCTGGCTACCATCTTTTCAACCTCATGCCCTCTGGCAGGTGCTATAGATCCATAACGGCCAGAACAAACAGACTCAGGGAGTCTGCTTAGTAGCTTATTCCCCAAACCCATTACCATACTCAACTCAAACTTGCACAAAAGCAATCTGCACTGAAATATCATCAATTCTCTGCCTGTCTGTCTCTGTGTCAGCACTGTACTGTGTATTTATATTTATAGTAAGTGTATAGTTAAATTATTGTATAGTTTTTATAATGTGCTATAAGCACGTGTGCACTTTTATAGAGCTGTTTCCAATTTCGTTATACCATGTATAATGACAATAAAGGCTTTCAATTCAATTCAATTCAATTTAAGTCCCAACTCAAAACTCACTTGTTCAAAATAGCTTATCCCACATAACCTCTCCACTCTGCTATTTTAAATTTGTTTTATGTCTTATGCTTTTATGATTGTGTAAACTGCTTGCTTTTATGTTGCTTTTATTATTCTACCATGTACAGTGTTCTTGAGTGTTCTGAAAGCCACTTTCAAATAAAATGTATTATTATTATTATTATTTAATCACAGTAGATGTCTTTCTGAAAGTGCTGTAACTAAGTTTAAGAATATAATCCACCCACTGTTATCATCTTCAATGCCCTGTACCAACACAGAGCAGAGCAGCTACCTGAACGCTACGCCAACAGAGGCCGATTATCTTGTTAATAATTTTACCTCCTCACAATGTAAAACAGCCTTATCTTTTACTGTAGCTCCTGAATCAGAAGTACTTGACTCCCTTGTATAATTCTCAAACACATAGCTTAAAGCAGTAAGCTGGAGAGGAAATGGTATTTCACAAATTTAGAAGATCAAGAGAAACCTGAAAATTCGATAGACTTTGCGCAGGAAATTTGTGCACAAAGAGAGGATTAAGCCATTATGCTTGTCTTTCAGAAAAAAAATTCCTGTAAGGGAACAAGGATGTCTACTGGTCTGTGATATCACGTAGTAGGGATAGTTGGAGGATGAGCCACCAGGTAAGTTATAGAGGTGAGTATCTAATGAATATTAAGAGAGACGACCAGCTATTGCAAGAGAGGAGATAAGGAACAAGAATCCAATTCTTGTTCCTTATCAAGAATTGAGTCATTTTCTTCACTACCCTGTTTTACTTGGGGTACCAAGCCCATAGTACATGCTAATTTTGTTGCTTTGGGAAACATTTTTAATGTTTGCTTTCTCAGTTTCCCTCACTAACTGTCCCTACTTTCTCAAACACTGTGATTCAGCACAGGGCGGAGCATTATATCACTACAGTCGGGCATCCAGTGATTGCACACGCACGCGTCACCTTGACCCCACTAAACAATCTGTCGCTCGGGAGGAGTTTGCGACTATGGAGCACCTGGTCATTGTGGAGCATTCGAATAGTCCCTGGACTTCCCCATTACACATGGTACACAAATCTGATGGTTTGGGCACCACGGACAAGATCTAAATAACGTCACGGAAAACAATCGTTATCCCATTTCCCACATTCAGGATTTTTCCACCCATCTCGCGGTGACCCTGATTTTTTCTATGATTGATTTACTACAGGGATATCAGGTATCAGGATCTTGTGCACGTTGAGGATTTTGGCCTTTTTGAGTTTCTGCGCATGCCCTTCGGCATGAAGGGTGCAGCCCAAACATTCCAGCGTTTGATTGACTCTGTATTGCACGGGCTGTCCTTCATTTTGTATATCTAGATTATATCCTGGTGGCCAACAGCTTGGAGGAATAGCACATGTCCCACCTGCTTCAGGTTTTTCAGTGCTTGGCAGCACATGGCCTGAGCATTAACCCGTCTAAACCTCTGTTTGGTTTACCAGTTCCACCGAGATTAAAGTTGGAGTAAAATATTGGGATCTCTTGTGTCATCCTTACATACCTCCACAACATGAACATTTCAGATGATTTTATTTAAAACTACTATTTATATACATTTATATAAAGAAACTATTTGCACAACATTTATTTATGTGTTCTTTTCAACATACCTGAAATTATTCATAATTTACTATATAGGTATTAAATCTAGATGGTACAAAGCACTATGTCATTGCCAATAATGGGCCACTACATTACATATAAATGCAAACACACTGCCAAACAGCAGTCATCTTTAAAGCT